CCTTGTTCAAATTCATGTTCCACCTGTAACCTGTGAATGTCACCTTACTTGGGAATGGGATTTGTGCAAATGCAGAGATATAGTCATACTGGATTAAGATAGAGCTCTAAATTTAATGACTGGTGTCTTTGTAAGGAAAGTGAAATTTGGGAACATAGAGAGATGGAGATACAGAGATTGGAGTGTTGCAGCTACAAGCTCAGCAATGCCAGCAGCTAGGAAAGATGCATCCAACATATTTTTTTCTTAGAGCTCCAGAAGTAACCTATCCTGCTGACATCTTGATTTTGGATTTCTAGCCTCCAGAACTGAAAGAGAATAAATTTTGGTCATTTTAAGCTACCTTATTAGTGGCAATCTGTTATGCTAGCCCTAGCAATACAGAACTATTTTGGATTTTGGAGATTCAACAGGGAACAAAAGAGATTATTCCTTTAATTAATTAACTTCATATGTTCTTCCCTCCTAGACTGTAAGCTCCTGAAGGAAGGACCTCTTTCTTGATGATCTTTGTTTTCCATGAAGTTTCTTATACACTGAATATGCTCAAAGCATAAAGATTCAATGAGGAGTGTGCTAGATAATAAGAAATAATTACAATTTATCTAAAGTGCCCACGTTATGGTTAGCTGCTCAATAAAACTAGTCTCCTTTCTTCCTTTCCTCAGTAATGGTATAGAGAAAGCAGATTTCAGATAAAATGATTTGTCAGTAGAGTATCAGGTGTATGAGAAGGTGGGGGGGGCATTAAAACATTTGTTTTGGAGATGGGAGAAGAAAGTTTGCTGTGAAATTATGAGGACATGTGAACAGAGAAGAGAGGACAAATACAGAAACAAACCTAGGGAAGACTCTATAATATTTGACTACTCATTGGAGAAGGAAAAAAATAAACTGAACTGGGATATTCACCCAGACTCTTAGGGTAGTAGCCTGAGTTACTGACAGTGTTAGTGACCCAGTCAGGGAAGTTCAGCGGTTTCGTTGTCAAGGCTGGAAGACAAGCTTGATTTGGTTCAGAATGAATGATGATAGGGCAGAAAAGAGAAGATTTGTGGAAGTGAAGGATGTAGTAGAGGAGAAAGTTAAAAATGTGGATTTGACCACCATCTGAAGATAAGTAGCAATAGAAACCATGAAGGCAGATGACTTAGCAATCAAACAAGAAGTCAGACCAGGGTCTTTTTTTTTTTTTTTTTTTTCCAGAGCGGGGTCTTGAGGAGAAATAAGAAAGACCAGCAATTGAGAAAAAGAAAATATCACAGAAATCATGGTAAAATGAGTCCTTTGACTTACCAGTGATGACTAAATGAAGGTCTCATTTGAAAGAATTGCTGTGGTTTTCAATATCATATGTTATAGGCTGCCAGAAAAAAACATGGACAGCCCTTAGGAAAGACTTTTTGTAACGAGCACCAGTTAAGTCTTGATTTAGAAAATATATTTGTCTTTACCTGTTAGCTATACCAGTGTATTACAGAAAAGCCATAAAACCATATAGACATTTAATCTTCCTTGGCCTCAGTTGGAGAGGACAATATCTAGTACATATGTTTTTCTTTTCGGTTTATAGATTCCATGATTCTTAGAACTAGTTAAAAACATAATAGCTGGGAATCCCTGGGTGGCTCAGCGATTTAGCGCCTGCCGTTGGCTCAGGGTGTGATCCTGGAGTCCCGGGATCAAGTCCGGCATCGGGATCCCTGCATGGAGCCTCCTTCTCCCTCTGCTTGTGTCTTTGCCTCTCTCTCTCTTTCTCTGTGTCTCTCATGAATGAATGAATGAATGAATGAATAAAATAAATAAAATCTCTAAAAAAAAAAAACAAAAACATAATAGCTGTAGAAAAATGCTTTGTGATTAAATGTAGATAAGTGGCATATCTTTGTTTCCATATGATGTAGATTCATCTTAGAATTTAGGCACATGTAGGCAATGTCTGGTGAGGGATGGGGATAGACATTCCGGAAGTTGGTTCCATGAGCGTGAGAAGACTTCTAGAAAGAAACTTAAACTAAAGAAGATGTCAAATTCTTAACAGAGATTCAAAGCCATGGACCAGTATGGAAACAGTGGGATCATTCTGAGTGTGTGCAGCTTATATGGTCCTCTGTTCTTGCCCTTTATGTTGAACAGATCTCTTGATCCTCCAACACAAACCCAGGGATTTGTACTACCTGAGTCCTGACAGTGAAGCTTGATGGGAGAAAGGAAACTAGACAATTATTTCCTTTAGGTCTCTGAGACAAAGAAAGAACAAGGCAACACTCTCTTGGGGCCAGGTAAAAAGGGTAATGTAAAAGAAGCATTCTCTTGGCTTTTTGAGCAACAATATGAAACAATGGCTGCCATACAGACACTAAAGACATTTACACCAGTCACTGGCAGCCTCTAGCAGTATAGAAAAAAAAATGGCAGTGCATTTGACAAGCAATGACTTGATGGAGAACAGAGGACTTGGAAAAAAATTATTTGAGGTAGGAAGGCTGGAGCTTATAGCATTGTGTTAACTTCTGTGAGGACGGTGGCACTTTGACTTCTGAATATATTATTTTATTTCAAATATTTGTGGACTTAATCTATCACAAAATTAATTTCTGTCAATTTATTGGGTGGCTCAGTGGTTGAGCATCTGCCTTTGGCTCAGGGAATGATCCCCGGGTCCTGGGATCGAGTCTCACATCAGGCTCCCTGTGAGGACCCTGCTTCTCCCTCTGCCTATGTCTCTGCCTCTCTCTCTGTGTCTCTCATGAATAAATAAAATCTTAAAAAATTCTGTCAATTTATTAATATAAAAATTATTTATATAAATATATATAGCATTTGTAATATACATATAAATGAAAATATAAAATTATCATATATCATTAAAATATATTGTGCCTAAAATATAAAATATTCTTCCTTCCTTTTCTTTTTCTTTCTACATTTCTACTATCCAGTAGAATACTGTGTTATAAATATCCCAATTTTAGTTCAGAAGCCATGCTTCTTGTAGAAGAGTATAATTGCATTATCCTTGGTAAAATTTATAAGCCTATGATGTAATGTTAAAAATTATGCTTTTGCATGTATTGATTTCAGTGTGTAATTTGTGCTGGCAGTAATTTTCCACTGGCCATAAGGAAGAACTATTTTAATTAATTCTGAAAATTCAGCCATGTCAATTGGAGATGCACATAAACACACATACACACATAAAAATACAGCAAACATACATATACAAAGTCCTGAGAAATAGCATAGGATTTTAGTCTATTTTGTACAAGTGAATCACATTTTTTGGCACATAATAAGTTCTCAGTAAAATAGGAGCTACTATCATTATTATCATGAAGTGTCACTGGTTTATAAATAAGCCCTACTGAAAAGGAAGAACTACTTTGTTTTGAATACTACATGATACTCTAGGAAAAGTAGGCTCAGGGGGCCAGTTGATTTGTATTACTTGATCAGGTAACGGTTTGTAAATATAGTTGCTTTAAAATATGCTGCAGGAGAGGGAGATATGCTGCTAGAACTTTCCTCCAAGAACCCTTTTACTCAACTTAGTCCATCATTCTGCCTATTCGTCATCCAAATTTCTATGACTATGGCTTCTTCTAGCAAGAGATAGTATAGTCTATTGTCTTGAGGCCTAGGCTCTGATCCTAGATGTACATGATTTTGAATCCTAGCTCCACTGGTTGTTAGTTCTGTGACCTTGGGCAATCTATTTAACATCTTTGTGATTCATTTTCTTCATCTATAAAATGAGGCAATGATAACAGGTAGCCCATAGGCCTAGTCTGAAAATTAAAACTTAAACAAGTATGCAACACATAGTAAGCCCTTGATATAAATCAGCTCTTTGTATTACCTGATGCTACTATGATCTCTCTTTTGGTGATGACTCCACTCTATCTGATTTCACAGTACAAGCACAAATTGTTTGCAGCCCTGAGTGAACCTTAGGATTGTCCCTCTGCTCCTTTCTATGATAATTTCCCCAGCTTTCTTTACACATATGTGTTGATTATTACTTATCATACAACTTGAGCAGAGCTCTTAACAGATATCTAGAGCTCTCTTTCCCTATCTACCTATCTATCTCCTGCCTCTCTATCATCTATATATATCTCCATCTTTCTATCTTTCTATTTCTCTTCCTCTGTCTGGGCAGAAATCTCCTGTCCTGTACTCTGCTCTGTAAAGGCTAGCCATTGTGATCTCCTCTGACACTTGAATCCATCTCTTCAACTCAAGGGAGACCATGGAGCTTTACTTAAACATCCTTTCCCTACTCCACAGGCTAAAAATTCCCTCTAGGCTATCAGCTAAAGCAACTGTATTTTCTGTCTCTCAGGAACCATTATCCTGCCCTTTTTAATGTTCAATGTCTATATAAAACATTGTTTTATATATTTTGGCTGTTCTTTAATGTTGATTCTGATGGGAGGATAAGTCTGGGCCATTTTACTCCAAGTGTGCCAGAGGTAGACATTACCCAAGTTAGTTTCTCTTAACCATAGCTACTAGAGATGGTAAATTTGACTTCTTTAGGCTGTAATGTATTTACATTTCCCAGATGTATTCAAATCCTGGATCATATGCTGGTCCTAGAAACTGTCCCTTAGAGTATTATAAGGATGACTTACAAATTTAAGCCTGCTCTTCTAATCCTTTTCAACAGTAAAACTGACCAGTTATTAATTTTTGATGTTACACATTTATGAAATCAGAAAAAAATATTTTTTCTGATATTTATATGAAATGTTTATATCTAAATTATTTGACAATTTTTTTTTCGTTATAAAGCAAGTTTATTTCTGCAGACAGGAGGTGTCTTATGTTTATGCACAGGGAAGGAATTAAGGGCATATATCCAACTCCTTGGTCCCCTTGCAGAACGGGGTCCCTGTGTGCTTCAGCAGCTTTACGCAGTGTTTCAGCATCTTTACTGGGGACCAAAGATATTGGGATCATGAAGGGTCAGACTGTTCACCAGCTATTCAAAGTCACCCAGACTCCAGGGCAGAAGTGACAGATTTTCAGGACCAAGAGATAACCTATTGTCAGGGCTGATGGTTTTCTTTAGCTACCTGCTGCTTGCCAGAGAGGACCCAGGCTTCTTGACAGTAGCTCCGGAGAGCCAGGTTCTCCGAAAGGAGGGACTGCACACTGTCCACTTGCAGGGCCCTAGCCTCCTGCATCCCGCCCACATCCTCAAAGTGGTACCTTACGTCAAGGGCCCCCGGAGGCAGAGTGGCGGAGAAGGCGCCCCCGAACAGCGGGTAGTCTCTCGTGGGCTCCATGGGCCTGGGACTGGGTGCGGGCATCAGAGAGATATAGAAGAAACCCACGTGTGGCCACGCGGCATCACCATCACCGCCGCCGGCTATTTGACAAATTTTAATCCAAACATGTATGCACCTGGAACATGCAATCATTCATACATTAACAATATTTATGGAGCATCTATTTTGTGCCAAATGGACACTGTTCTTGATGCTTAGGATAGAGCTGAGAAAGAAAGGTAAGTTTCTTCCATTTATGAGATTGAGATTCTATTGGTGGTAGTAGGAAGGCAGCTAATAGAAAAGCAGATAAATGTATTAAATTAACAAAAAAACGAGTAAGAAAAAGGAGAAAGAAGAAGAAAATTAAAATATGAAAAAGCACAATGCAAGAAATTAAAAAAGGATGACTGGGTGGCTACTTTTGAGTAAGTAGTGGTCAGAATGGCTCAAAAGTAGTTATATTACCTGAAAGAAAAAGAAAAAAATTAAATATGAAAAGATCAGAGAAAAAGCTTTCCAGATAGAAGGAATGAATGCAATTGTCTTATGGCTAGAAATGCACTCAAAGGAGTTCAAGAAAGGCTAGTGTTGGTAGATGCACTTAGTAGAGAGAGCAGAGTCTGAGAGGTCACAGGAGCAGGCAGGGGTAGGTTACTTAGAAGATGGCAGAAGAGTTTGGAATTTATTTAGAATGATGGGAAGCCACTAGAGATTTAAATCATGCCACGATTTAAAACATTTCAAATGCCTTCTGACTACTACATGAGGATTGTAGAGGAGATTGTAGAGCAGTAAATGAAAAAGCAAGGGACCTATTAGGAGGATGTAGGGGGATAACAATGAATATGGAAAGAAATGGATGGCTTGGGATAGATCTTGGAGGTGGAGTCAATATGACTTGATGGATTAAATGTAGATTATGAAGGATAATGCCTAGATTTTTGACTTAAGCAACTGGGTAGATGATTATATCATTTACTGGGAAAAATTGGAAGTGAAGTGAGTATGTGAAAAAAAATTGGATTGTTCTGTTTTGGCTATATCAGTCTTGAGATGTTTATTAGAAAATCTCATGGAGATACTGAGTAGGAATTGGATATAAATCTGTAGTTCCAGAAAGAGACTAAAGCTAGAGAAGTAATTTTGGGAATTGTCACAATAGATGAGATCTAAAGTACTGGGTTTGAGTGAACACACCAAGGGAGAATATTTAGATAGAGAAGAGGGGAATCCAGATACAGACAGATACGTAATGTCAACATCTGAAGTTTATCAGAGCATAATTAAAAAAAAAAAAGAGAGACTTAGAAGGAGTGAGCTGTGGGGTGGAAGGAAAACCAGGAGCATAAGAGAATGGTCAATGTACCAAATGCTGATGAGAATATCTGGTAAGAACAACAAGTAACCCACTGGATGTGACAATATGGAGGTCATTAGTAACTTTAACTGGAGCAAGTATAGTGAACTGATAGGACAGAAAAGCTCAAGAATGTGAGGTGAAGAGGTAGGAGGGAGTGGTTATGGACTACTCTTTAAGGAAGAAGCTGTCCCTGTGAATGGGAGTTGAGAAATGGGATGGACGCTGGAGTCTGAGAGGTTCAAGAAAGGATTTATTTTATTGAAGAAAGGAAATACTCAACATGTTTTAGATAAATGGCAATAATTCATTAGAGAAACAGAAACCAAGGTGGGATAAAGAGGAAATAATTGCAGTAACAGAGTTCTTGAAAGCACAAGGAGAGAGCTCTGGAGTGCAAGTGCAGAAGCTGGCCTTGGATAGCCCAAGTGATGCTTCATGAATATTTATAAGAGGGTCCAGATATGAGTAGACTGGTTATTTCATGTTGTAAAGATTCATGGGATGTTGCCTGATCATTCTAATTTTTGGCTAATTATGAGGCAAGGTTGCCAACTGAGAGAAGGCTAGAGGAGACAGATAGAGGAGGATTGAAGATAGCAATGCATAAAATAGTCATTTTGAAGATTCATACGATAAACCACATTTCTGAGCAGTGTTGTAAGCCCCTTTGAGTAATGTGACCACACAATGCCTTCAAAGTTAGTAAGAGTGCATGTTTTTCCCCAAGAGAGATAGTTTGGTTGCAGGCTGAGACTAAGTGTATTAGTGGAATGTAATTAGGACTTGGATTTTGCCAAGATACTATGTTGCTGAGAGAAATAGGAGACATAGTTAAGATTCTAGCAATAAATTATTTTAATGATACACCATGAAATCTTAGCTACAGCTAAGAGGGGAGTGAGCTCGTGATGGGTGTAATAGGGAAAAGCAGTAGAATCTATGAACTGGGGGCTTCAATGAGGTAGAAAAATAGTCTAGGAGGGTTGTTAAATAGGAGTGCTGGAAAAACAAAACAAAACAGAAGTGATGGCATTTTTTCATCTCTTTACTGCATAATATTGAAACAAAACATCTAAAGACATAGTGTGTTCTCTTTCATATCAATACTGGAAAATAGGACATCCAGAGATAAGTTAACTGGGCAGAGAAGACTAAACTGTAGTTGATGAAATTTTGAATGATCCAGAAGAAGACATAATTTAGGATGTCAATGCATTTTGGATTGCCAGACCTTTTAGAAGCATGAGAAGCACTTTTCATTTTGTATTTTTGGCCTACAACCCAAACTCCTCATCAGCCATTCAATTACACCTGAGATCTGGCCTTCTCCCAACTCTTAGATATTCTTTTGGTGCTCGCTCATTCTCTCTCTCTGTTCAGAATAGGAATAGAAAATCTGTTCAACTGAAAAGACTCACGAACACTGAGTTTGGGTTTTGTCTCATCCTTATATTCTCATATTGATAATAAAATTAGAGTAGGCATGAAGCCAAAAAATAAAAAGACAAGTTCATATCATAAGCCCTGGCAATATCAAGTACGCCAGTATTGTACAGTTACTTTCCTTCTCAGACCTATCTTGATTCAGATTCTTTTGTCAGAGGACAACATTTTTGTACAGACTAAACTGAAACCAAATGCTTTTTTAGCATAAGGGTTGACATATCCTGAGAAAGGACAGTCATGGCAACCAAGAGGTCCCCTGTTCTCAATGTATAAATAGCTTCCCTCTCTTATGTCCTCCATGGCTATTTATAGAGCATGAGGGAACTATGATATAACCAATCTGTTATCCATTCCATATATTACAGAAAAACTGAAACCATTAGGAGCTACTACCAATTTGAACTAAAAAAGTAGAGGGGGTTCTTTGATTATTTTTTAAGTCAAGTTAACTCAAGAAGCTTTTTAGAAGAAAAGAAATTTGAGAAATGAAAATGTGACAAGAGTTGTTTCTTCATATAATAAGTACTAATAGTTAAGTTATTTTTCTTATTCTGTTGTTTGCAAAAACCCAGACCATAATCTCTATTTCTGGACTAATAACCCAAAAGTCAGATGGATAGTTATGAATAGTTCCTCTGAACTTATAAAGAGATTTCATATAAACATGACACTAGTGAGAAGTAATTGCATTTTCTATAGTGCTGATGTTGAGTTCACTGAGAATGGTGTCTTTGTAATAAAAGTATGTTATACAAAATGTTTCTTTGAGGTTTTCCATGTTAAGGAGAAACTGCCTCTTGTTATACAATGGAACCTATTACACATTTTCTTTTGGTGTTTCCTCTGGCTTCAAAAAGAAATTTGAAGATTCTGATGCTTAATATTTCTATTCTCTAATAAACTAAGGTCTCTGGTCCCCATTCTGGAATTTTATACTGTATCAAATATTTCTTTTTAATTTTTTTTGTTTTTGCTGTTCTCCTGTGTATTCTTTTTTATGTAAGACATAGAATACCATTTTGGTAAATAGAATTGGAATTTCAGAATGTCCCAGTTGATAGGAACTGAGAAGAGAGAAAGCATAATCTCCCACTTTGTGCAACATAGAAAGTGGGCTCTGAGATGCTATGTAAAGTAGCTAGTAATTGGTTTTCTCAAGCTAAGCTTCATGCAGGCTAGGAAAAGTTTGTCTAAGTTCTACTCAATTTTTGCTTTCTTTTAAAAACTTCATGTTATTGCCTGTAGATTGTTCTATATGAGTGAGATTTGGTCCCCCTAGATTGACTCTAGGCTTTTCCACGGTAGGCCCTGTTTAATCTTCCTGTATTCAGTAAACACTTCTTTAAATACATCACAGGCTGAAACTGAACTTTTCTTAGTCCCTTATTTATTATCAATGTTAATGGCCAATGTATTTTTTCCCCTGGAATATGATAGGCTTACCTATTGTGAAATCCTAGAAATATTGGAAATTTACAGTACTTTTTAACCTCAGATTTATATTATGTTTAATTTAAAGTGGCACATTTACCATTTACTCATAGAATGCTATATAAAACTGACAAATTCTCTCCCTATCCCAATTTTATTTATTTGTTTATTTTTAAAATTTTTTTCTTTATTTATTCATGAGAGACACAGAGAGAGAGGCAGAGACATAGGCAGAGGGAGAAGCAGGCTCCGCATAGGGACCCTGATGTGGAACTCGATCCTAGGACCCCAGGATCACCAACTGAGATGAAGGCAGTTGCTCAACCACTGAGCCACCCAGGTGACCCCCTGACCCCAACTTTAAAACACACACACACACACACACTGAACACAATTTTTTGTCGTGCAGAACGTCTGAAACCTTAATTGGGATGATTGAGGAGGTGAGCATTGTGTCCTTTGTGACACTCAGACTTTCTTCTGCTGATTCCCTTCAGAGGCCTGTGGTAATAGGACTCCTCTGCTGGATGGAAGACATGGCTAGGCTCCCTGCTCAGCCTCTTCTTATAAGTTATTTCTCTGCCTTCCGCCTTCCGTCCCCACCCATGTGGCACTTTTCTGGACCACTGCTCTAATGCAATTACTTTTTCGACGGTTAAAGCATTCTTTATACTATTTTAAAATGATCCTGTTACTATCTAAAACAGACTGATTCATGTCCATTACTTTTCATTCCATGCTCTACAGTGAGATAGGTGCTTATGGGAAGTGAAATAAT